GTTCTTCGGTCGATTTTTGTTTTGAGTTGCTTTTGCTTGTTTTCCGTTGTTCATTTTCACACGAATCAGTTGCGTAATAAATCAAATCAAATCAAATTTGAGGACCACTCAACGGAGTCACGCCCGAGATGTATAAGGTGCCTATGAGAAACTCAACATCTATAAAGAAAAGTGAACGCACCTTCATAAACAGCACACCCTACACACACAGGAGCCTTCATTTCCATCAACATGCCCTGCTCGTATCAAGTGCATTTTGGAAAATTCGAAAAAAAAATCAAAAGCTTTAAACATAGTGGACAGAGCGGCACAACACACATTACGACCAAGGAGGTCATGGACACTGAAAACCATTTTGCGCTTTTCGTCCCCATATTCGTGAACAACATTCAAAACTCTATCGATTTGTCTGGGTCTCCCTTCAAAGTCCCACAGTAAGTAGACTACCCCTCCGTGGCTAGTCATCTTATTCGTGAATACATTACTTCTCTAAACTCGCAGGCTGTAAATCAACTAAATTTTTTGTCTAGAAGGCATATGTTGGTGTTTGGTCCTTCCATGGTAAACTCGCTCACAAATCTATCTAACACCGTGACCCAGAACTCTGCCAACTTGAAATCCCAGATTCCTCTGAGTGCGGACATACAGTTCCACACATACGAAAAGGCAAAGCATCCTATTATATGTAAAGTGGTAAGGTACTGGTGGCTTACACTGGGAATGCCTCTTTAGTTATCCATCAGCAGATTGGTAACTGGGGATTACTTGGGTTGATTCTAATAACAACCCAAGCTATGTTACATATGAAGCCATTGAAACTGATGAATGCTAGTTATCAATGAGATTTCCCTAAGAGACTATTTATCGCCTCTCACAAATGAGCCTTCTTAAAATACATGTTTCTCTTTCAGATGCAAGCTATTGATCATAGCAAGCCAAGCGGAAACGCGACATATGGTAAGAACGACTGTAAGGATCCGCCATGCAATCGGAAATTCATAGAATTTGAAGTCTCAACCGAAGCTCCTGACACCTACCGGTCGAGTTCTGCGAAAAAAAACGCCTTATAAAGACAGTCGCTCTTTCGAGATTCTAAAATGCAAATCCTTGCTCTATCGCCTACTTTTTGATATTGATGAGCCACAAGATCTATCGATGACATGGAACGAATGATAATCTCTAGAGAGGGCGGCACGAGCTTAAAGGCACAGTTCACGATAATTGTGGGGTATCCGGTTTTTGGCGAAATTTGACAAAAAAAATGTTAATTACGGCCTACAATAGTGCAATGGTAAAAGAGAAGACGCGAAAAAAGATGAATATAAAAAATAGAGAGCTACAAAAAAGAAGGGAAAAGGGGGGTCGGACGAGCTACATGGCGAAAGAACGGTGATAAGGGATTTTTCGGGCGAGTCAGACAAAAGCGACGCAGTGTCTGCAGTTGCAAAAACAGATCAAATAGCTGATTTTGGCTTATTCATTGAAACTAATTCTCCTACCGCTATTAATCTGATTTATTGTGCAGTATCAATTTCCACCTTTTGATTACGGCTGAGAAAAATTATTTAGATCAGAATAGCGTAGAATATAGTCGAATACTAGAAAAGCAGCCTAATAGTAGTCCCCGTACGAGGCGGTCGACCAGCTGACCGTCTGTAGGCAATTTGCCAAACAGCCTATCGATTTTTCACTAATGTTGCTCGAATGCGAAAGTGGTGAAGGATAATTAGAACTCGTAGTCAACCTAACGAGGGGCGGGGGCCTCCCGTCCCCCACTGTTACTGCCCTTATTGTGCCCTATCCACACCGTTTTCCGACCTCATTCCTGCACAAGTGGTATTGGAGGGGGCGTCGAATTCAAACCATGTGCAAATCTCCGAAACCATTTTTTCGTGAACTGTGCCTTTGAGAAATAATGAAAACAAGTGATTTTTATGAGCCACCGCTCGAAACTTTCATAACTTCGAGGCATTCTTTTAGAAACTTTCAGCTCACCTTGTTCTGGCATGTGGCACTGCTTGCCTGCATTGGTTGCGTCAAAATCCTCATCGGCGCCTTACGTTCAGCGATCACATTTTCAGCACATCTGCGACACAGAAACACCGGTGGCGAAGTGTCGGCGACGTCGGCGCATATCACAGGGTCGTAACAGGACTTCACGCTGAAGCGATATGTTTGAAACAATGAAGGAGACAGTGTCAGAGTTTTCGCAAATAGTTTGTGCTGTGATCACATCTGTTCACCATGTAAACAGACCATTGAAACCAAATGAGATTGATGAGTTCAAAGAAATAGACCACTGTAGTTTGCATCGAGATGGTCACACTTCTGCCCGAAAGCACTGAACGAAAGGAAAGCTGGGTCGTGAAAGGGGCGAATGGAGACGTTACTGCCGCGCGCTCGAGGAAATCGATGATCAAGGGGACGAGAGGTGATACAGGCGATACAGGTAAAGTGTTACTGACACTAATGAATTTGGTGAGTTGAAGCTGGGAAAAGATAGACATTGCCTCGAACGAGTTCGTCTTCATAGGCCTTCAAGAACCCCGAGAGCTGAGTCCATACTTACTCGTATCTCGGAGGTCGATTGGGGGCACCAGATCACGTGCAAAGACAAAAAATTGTTGTCGGCCCGGAAGTCAGGCCACTCGAGCGTTTTTGCAATTGCTGTCGTCCCCCATATAATTCCATGAAACTCTAAGATCTTATGGAACTCTATTTCTTGCCACTGTTTTGACCCTTTTCCAAAAACCTGGCTTCTTTACTTACACATTCCTGATCTGATCGAGATCGCTCCTTCACAGGTAATTATTTCGCCTCCCCTCTTCTTGTTACAGAAACTTTTTCGGATAGCTACGTGAAAAACACTCACCTAGGTCCCTTATCCGCACAAGTTGTTGATTGACAAGGTATTCTTTGCCAAGCTGAAAAGGAATCGACATCTGATTCGCTCACCTTATGATGAATGAGAGAAAAGCTGTCTACATTAATGTTCCACATTCACCAGTAATATCTGTCACTAAAAGAAAACCGCGGAGAAGTGAAGAAGAAGCAACGAAGTTAATTGGTCTCGATCAACTACCTTTTGCCAAACCCCAATGCATTCGACTCCCATTCAAAATAGTGGCGGCGTTCGAATACCTACTGACAAGTGCTGTCTCGCGATCCGCTCCCCGATCATAGGAATGGTAAATAGAATAAAAGGTAGAATAAAATGCTCTTGACATAACGCCACCTTCTATGTAGTCGCTAAGATTCATAAGCTGCTAGCCTGGGTGGAATGCAGTACGTGATATGGGCAGCTTATTCATCTTTTTCTGGCGGCATCTGTCTACATTTGCCTCCTACTTCATCCTTCAGAGAATCAGTGTTTATCGACGTCAAGAAGGGGTTTCCATAGGAGGGTCGTAGTATCCCACTTATAACCCGCTTCTGGCCCACACTCCTCATCCTATCTATGATACTGTCATAAAGAATCAAGTTCCAAAAAAAGGAATGCAGTGAGAGAAGTGCCAGAAAGAGAGGCTTGCATGTAGTTCAGCTAAACGGTGGGCCGTTAATGTAGTCGTAGACGTACCATGGACTTTGTACTGGATGATTTTCCTGTGTATTATGTGAGGATTTGGGAAGGGCCAGTAATGTAGTAGGAGATTTGCAGCCGCAACTCTGGATTCCGATGTACCTCTGGCGATAACCTGAACGATAAGTTGTTGAGACCTTCAGCTGCAGTTTCTAGGGCGATATATTCTCTGGGAATGGTCTTATGCAAACGCGTGGAACCCTTCGAAACAGTTGCTCATGGTCCGATGAGTCCACTGATTTTCAGATTCAACAAAAAATCGAATTACCTAGCGGATGTAAATCCGAGGAAGTGAACGAGAGCTCTGCCGATAGATAGCAGCCTACAGGAAGTCTGTACAACGTCCACAAGTGTACGCCGTTGCAGTTTTTCGCCCGGTTCTGGGGGTAGGAATCGAAGGATTCAGTATAGGATCTAGGCTTATGTGTACGAATTTATACTTCTGTACTCCATGGATCCTTAAGAACTTAAATACCAACCACAGCTAAGTCCGGTGAAGAGCCAATAGTATAATAGAAAGCTGATTGCTGTGAGCAGACGCCCCAACCAATCTCTGCTATCTCTATGCAACAATTTCGATGGCTAAACTGGGGAGTAGCCTTCCAAGCTTCTCAATGCCTTTGTTTAACAGCTATCAATATTTGTTAACTTATGTTTGGAACCGCAATACACCATTGCCCCCTGCGCACCCAGTTCTAGTATCCAACCATTTACTACATAGGTATGTGTCACCTCGTGCGTCCGAGGATGCGATGCGCATTGCGTGGCGAAGTTGGTAACGATTTGATCGACTTTAGCGCTTATCGTTGGGGCTCAAATATGAAAGGGTAGATTAGAAGGGTCATCTGACCCTAATAAACTACTCCACTTCGAGTTTGTGTCCCGAAAATTGGCGTCAGAGTCGTACAAATCGTTACGAACCTCGCCGCGCAATATGCCGCGCGTGTCCTCAGATGCACGAGGTGACCGTCCTCCCCCCTTTAACTTAAGAAAAAGACACACTGGAGGCACTCAACCTCTGGCTGCTTTGTGGAATCGCTGCTGTTTATGACGACTAGAAGATAGCAATGTCTCGCACTGTCAAGAAGGAACCGCTCTCGAAGATTGTAAGTGAGGATGTTAAAAATTGGTTTTCGAAAGGGATAACTTCACTGAAACCACGAGTATTGCTCCCCAACATTCAGACTTGAGTCTTGCTACACGAGGGGAGTTTTAAATAAAGCTTCAAATTCCTTCGCAAAACCCGCAATCGTATAGGATATTGAGCTGTTGAGCTGAAACTTGAACCTTATTTGACAACAGTGACCAACTTCGATAAGTTCCCTTCTTTTGCTTCTTCTTATAAAGAGAGTGAAGCATAAAGTTGTGGGCGTAACTAATTTCGTTTTGGGATGCGCTCTGCATTCGACTTTCATTCAGAATCGTAATAACGTATTGAATGCCTATGTGGCCTATACAATGACTTGGGGTGGCCAGCAGATGTACAAGTCAGGGCTTTTATCTTCCCAAGCGAGTTTCGTACCAGCTAACCACCCCGAAGGAATGGTAGACTCTGTCGACCTAGACGGATATTATTCCGTCTATGCGGGAGTCGATACACGGACCACTTATGTGTGATAATACACCATTCGCCACTACGCCACTCCCTGTTACTGAATTCCTAGGAACAGGCTTCACCTGTTTTCGGTCAAGAAAATCATTTACGAGCTTACCAACGAAGTTTATACAGATAGAAGAGCTTCTTACCTGCACCAAGTCCTCATAAATATTTGGGCTGCAATTCATTGTGCCTTCCATGATCCATGTATGAAGGCCTAAAATGTAGATTAATCACACGAAGAAGAAGCTCTAAGTTTTGTGAAAACTAGCTTTTGCAAGCTCACTGGACAAAACGCCGTTTCCCAAGGATAACCTTTTAAATTCACTGTACTCCCATCTGAGAAGGTCTGCACTTTCACTTCATAAAATCCGATTTCTGTTTTAGTAAGAAGAAAAGATCTTATAAGAAGAAACGGGCAAACTCGTCACACTTCCTGAACTAATGCAAATTGCTCAGTAAGAACATAGAAAATACTCCCTCGAACTCGAAAGCCCGTTTGCTAATTGCCCTCTTGCATCATGCGTCGATACTCCTTTTTGTTTGAAGGCCTCTTTCGTTGGATATGGCAGAGTCATTAGGAGTAGTGTGTCGCTACTACCTCCAAGCCTTCGTTTCAGTCTCTATTCCCCTATTTCTTCCTCATAAATAAAAAGATGATGGCAAATGGCTCAAGTCAACCTAGTGAACTAATTCTTTGATAGACCCCTCCCAGCAATATGACGAGGTCCGTCCACAAATTTAGTTCCTTGAATGATAGCGCACCACAAAATGGTAGCACAACACTTCGAAAGGGCCCCAAGATGTCGGAAGAGTTTAGGAATGCCTGAGGGAACGACGTGGATTAGGTTTGGGAAAACTGAGGAAGAAAAAGAACGAAAATAATCAGTGACTTACTTGGATCATGGGCTTGTTGTAGTACCAGCATCAGGACACCTGGTACTGACAATTTGATGAATGTTTCTTCATTTATCGCGAATGGCAGCACTGTGTCGGCCAGTAGATGAACGATCTACAAATGAAATTCGAAAGATGAAAATCGGAGTTGAAAAGGAACGTAATTTTGGAAGGCAAGTGAAAAGTTTGTAGCCCAAATAATGAAAGGAAGTAGATTTTAAAGGCACTCATGCGTTCTACACCTTTGTACACTGAACTAGGCAACCCATGAATCTGAGGGAAGTTCATTACTTTTGATCTACAGACCGCTTTTTATTAGAGCAGTGATCCACTCAAGGTGAGTCTTATATCACAGGTGGTCTACACCATAAGATAGCTTCCTTTTCGCCAAGCTGAAGTATATTTAGATGTAGAATAATTTTTGATTTATATACGATAGTTCCATTCTTGTGCCACGCAAGGTTTTCTGGTGCAATTAGTCATTAAGGCCAAAGGCCTGACTGCTCGACGTGACTACAGAGGCTACGATTCCAGCTGAAAAACCGTAAAAATCTTCTTCTATTTAACTATATTCTATTTATCATAAGATCCTGGTCTCAAGGTCTCGTGATACTTCAAAATGAGTATGTCCACTAATAGGATTATTTTTAGGATTTCCACGATAAAACAACAAAAGGTTTATATGGTGATCAGATGATTTTAGAAATATGTAGCTTCGTTCCTGTTACTGAGCTTCTGTCGGATACCATCAACGTCGGTCGCTGAGGAAGCGAGCAGACAACGAACTCGCAGCGATTTAACAAGATCGTTATACACACTCTAATACAGCGTTTTAAGCTTACCTGCTTATCAAGTTCATTAGGTAAGACTCCGATGTTACTAGCGAGAAGTAGAGGCAACTGCTCGAGGGTATCTCGATCGAGAAACATCATCAATGCCTTCAAGGTGTCCAGTACTGCCTCTCCAATAGCTAAATTGTAATGATGACAGATCACTGAAGCAGTAAGTCGCACAGCTCATGGTGTCACGCTGACAGAAAACCTAAAGCTGCTTTGTCTAGCGATTGATCACTATTTCACCGATCTAAGGTAAAACTGAGGTTCTACTGACCTTATCTCACCGTCGAAGATACTGGAGATATTGGATTGGAAATCAAGAGATGAGCGTAAACTGTATGAGTTTCCCATAACTTTAAGGAAAACTTCAGAATTTTACTCATCTTCTCCGGAAACATCCTGGTATTCGAATCACTGTCAAATAAGGATTGACGGGAGATCATGTCTAGCTGTATATCCAAGAAACCAAATACTAGTTTGAAACCTATCCAGGAAAACAAGAAACGCGCATGAATACAGCGAGGATTGCCGTCATCTGGCGAACAGTTCGGCTTCATCGTTTCCAAGAAATACAATTAATTAGGGAAAGGTGCAGGGGAATTGTTGGAAAATATGATACTTTATTTTTCAGAATAAGTTGTTCATTATACCTGTTTGTCCGGTAGTAATCAGGGGGAACACCTCGAGTAGGTTGCCTATGGCATAGAATAATCCGGCATAGTTCAGATTTGGATAGAGATTCCATCGAGCTGGATCGGACGAGAATCGTTCGCAATACTGTGTTTGGCCTTGCGGGAAATCCTTTAGAAATCTGGAAAAAAATTCTATTGTGTCGAGATTCACGACAGAAGACCTCATAGAAAAAAAGCTTGGCGATCAAAAGCTTTGTACAGACGACACAGGCTTCGCAGACTTTGTCTCAGGAAGAAACTTCGGCCGCCTTCGGGTCAAACAGCGTTCTCATGCTAAGTCTTAGAAAGGGAGTAGTAAAGGCTCGATATTCGGTATAGTTGCCCATTCGCTTGGTTGGTATTATTGGAAGTCGCAGTGTCGAGTCACACAGAATGAGTAGATAGGTGAAATTTGGTCTCTCTATGATTAGAAATTATCCTAAACAGTGGTAACACTACCGATTGTTGTACCGATGAAGGATCGTGAGAAGCAGCCTTCCCCTTCCCCAACTACCGTATATATTGTTGGTAATGGACAGGAGATGAATGTTAGGTTCGAGCTAATGACGACTTCAAAATTCTCGACGATTTTTCAGTCCTCGATAATGGCCTAGCGACATCAAGCTCCAATTCAGATGGTTTATGAGCAAAGCATGTTGCGGATCGCAGAGGGATTTGCCGATTTCTGACATTTTGTCTTTTAACCCCTCGTGTGGACTGCCATCAGCCGCTTTCTCGCCTTTGATTACATTCTTTCATCGTGCACTTTCATTTCCCCTTTTCAGTACAGACCACTGTTTTTGTCGCCATCAGTCGCCTTTTCACTCTAAATAACTCGTAAGCTTTGTTCTATGGATGTCTTTTGATAAATAAGGAGGTCAAGCAAAAAGTATTTTGAAACATTTAAATTAGTAAGCAAGCATAACATGATAATAAAGCAATAAGGTAAAGTAAAATCTTCCTTTTTTCGTTCCTTTTCTCCGCCGGAGGAACGACATCTTCACTTTCCCTTGGGGCTCATTAGTGGTTCGAGATCAGTGGGCGAAGGGAATGGGCAAAGTGACATTGTTCAGCTCAGTCAAACCGAAGACAGTGGTCAAGAAGGAAGGACTGCTGATAATGTGAACAACTTCATATTCCCACCAACTACTGGGTTTACCATGTTTTTCAAATTATCTTCAATAGAAAACCTGTAGCATTTGAATTTATTTCTACAAATGCACCTAGCTATATCAGTAACGATGAAGTTTCCTTTCTATCTCCATTTCGTAGTGTTGATGTGGTGTATGTAGTGGTAAGGGGCGCACCATCACAAACACAAATCGTTCGTGAATCGAATGACGGATTGCTATCCGCCAGAGTCAACCAATCCATCCATTCCTCCGAGGTCGATCGAGTAATTTCTACCGAGTCCATTTGGGAATATAAACGACAAACCAATAAGAGCACGGACTTGTAAATCAGTTGGCCACCACAATTTGAGATGGAATAATATATTAGCGAATCGAAAGGGTCATTGACTCAGCAATTTTGAGCCCACTCAGCTTCAAGCCCAAAGCACTTCTGAAACGGTCAACCTATAAAACAAAACGACTGACAGTCGAAAATGATGTCAAATGGTTTTTTTTTCGTCTACGCCCTAACATGCTCACTACCTGACCCGTGCATTCGTTTACCAATTCACCTAGTTACGGTTGAAAGCAGGGGTGCTCAAGTGTGAGCTTCATCTCGAACGTATTCTACGTTTGACCAGGATTTGCATACTTGCAAACGCAGACTTGAAAGTTAACAGTGCTATCCTAAACTGTTACCTTTCTGAATGAGAATTCGGTATTACTATGAACCAAAAGTCGCATTTATACTTCATTTTGAACATATGTACTGGCATACATCAAAACTACTGAATTCCTCAGCCCGAATGGGCATAGTAAGTGCAACATGATACATCACACTTTTTACCCATCATCACATGCTTGTGTTCAGGTTTGACCAGGAGTGGAGGGTGAAATTGACTACATATTTTGGCGGAGCATTAGAAAGGGAAGTGAGAAGCCGCTCGATAAGCAGAACCCCTGAATTTGCTTGCTCTGCAGAAAGCAATGCTGAAGATCAGTGATAGAATGATACTCAAAGCAAAACAAATACTGAAAACCCCGTAAATTGATGTGCGGACATCAGTTCGTTCGTGGAAATGAATCAACAACGATATCTGTCTCCCTAGTCTACGGCGTTCTCCTTGACTGGAGTGATCTGACACCTTCATCACAGGCGTTTCATTGAGACAGTGTGGTGGTGAATAGCAGCGTAGCCGAATTTGCTGTAGAATCCAGGTGAATCGTTCGAGAAGCTTTATTCATGTCGAAGGTTCGAATTTCTTTGGGAAGGTTTCCTAGGATTAAGCAACCCTACGTGCAGTTTCGGTTCGACATCGTGAAAGCAATCGTCTGAGCAGGGGCAAGAACTGAGATGGATCTTGGAATGGTCCCCTGCTGTTATCTATCTACATTTCTGGGTGGCTCCAGCCTACTAGCTGAGTAACGGCTCTTAAAATCGTTACAGGCTTCTAAAGCCGGTGTTCCCACTCGCATCCAAGTCAATACCCTGAAAAAGACTCGGACGAGTTTCGCGCACTAACTACCTTGTTTTGCAGAGTAATCGTAATCTCTATATTGATTGTGCCTTGTTCTCTTCAACTGACCCTTTCACGAAAAGTGCATTTCTATGGGAGCTCTTGCTTTGTGTGATCCACCCCAGTGGACCACACAAATCATACCTCGTTCATTGCGAGGCGTTTTTTTTTTCGTTCATGTTTTTGATCGTTTCTTCTGGTGATCCCTACAGAAATTTTTCTCAGCAGAAATTTCTGGAGGTCGTGGATCCGTTGTTTCTGAAGGAACAAAGGAATAATTTGCTGCTCTTACTGTTCTTTGCTTATTATAACCTGTAACTATGGACAAATAATTCTCTCTACGATTCCTCCTCCCCACCCCCCTCCCCACTCTAATGTCCACCGTTCCCTATTCTCTGTTCGCTTTTACTTTTTTTATTAGTTTTACCAAACACAACCACTATTGCTTTCCTCGTTTCCGAGCTACTACTATCCTCGATGGTAATGAAGATGCGGTTAAAGAATATGGTTTTGAAGAACGAAATCGTCCCCCAGAGCGTTGGATTAGCTAACCGAAAAGCGTTAGACGAAGTGCTCTGGCATGCTGAAGGTCACAATCATGGATACCTCCCTTTTCTATCAGCAATATAAGTTTTCGCTCAAGAACACGTGAATGTAAGCTTTTTCGTTAATCATTTCTTTCAGTACTTGAGCCATGATCTTCTGGAAGATACTGCTGTTATCAAGCCGTGAGATGGGATCCTGCCAGGGCGAAGTTGCAGCCTATTCAGCCCCTATGTACACGCACATCCACACGAATCATCCAGAGCAGAGCTGCTTTGCGACATTCGGCGTACTAATTTGTGCACGCTGATCAAACGCTTAGAAGGTGTTTTCGTGCTCGTCGAGTGGGGCCCGAAGGTCTTCGTAATTGCGGAATGTCCGCGTCTGATATACTGACTCTTAGGCGAGAATAAAAACGTTTTCGTCAATGCAGCGGAACCTCTTCCAATAGCGGGGTAACGATCTCATTTCACATTCAAAGGACGCGGCGTTGTGCAGGGCTTTCGGTTCCCCAGACGACATCATCTTGACAAAATGCGCCATTTGCGAGGCTAGTCATTCTATGAATAGTAGCATCGAAACATCTGAATTAGAGAACTTTTGGATCCCTACAAATTCTTTCTATAGGTCGTGTTTCGAGTTGCATCTCAGGAAGCGTTACCAGCTGCAGGACAAAGCTGTTTGGACCTGGGGCAGCTTCAACCGCCTTCACAACTTCATGACACATATGCGGTGTAGTAATGCGAATTTTTGCGATTATACCATCTTTCCCGTGTGTAATTAAATTTGACCGCCCCCCCCCCCCCCCCCCCCCCACAACTGAGCATTCTAGTTGGAGGAAGCCCCTATAGAGGGGGGATTCATAGTTCAGTAGTACATATTGGGCAGTCACGATTTTAGGAAAGGGTGATCTAGCAATCCAGAGGTATCTCAACACCTCCTCCCGACCGAGGACCAGTCACTAGATGAAGTCACCTATCACTGAGGAAATCTGCAACTACAAGTAAAACAGAGTGAAATTTAAAAATTGAATGGAAAAACGTTTGCGTTCCGCAGTTGTCCCAATAGAAGCATCTAGTCATTCACCATGTTTGTGAACTCATTTAGTCAGCATAGTTAACTGCTTGTAGTAGAACGTAATATGTACTATCGTAGGACTATTGAGTATCGGATTCGAACTCGCAACTAGCCCTCGTTGACACCGCCTTAGTCCATAACACCGCTTCTCCCACCCGACAGAAGAGGCCCCTTATAAGCGTCCAGTAATGCCGCTGCAATCACCATGGTGCAGTTTGTGATATCTGACGAGGTAACATTTGACCAGGCAACCTGCACTCTCGAAATTTCATAAATGAACTGGAATTCTTCCCATCAGAACGATGATTTCGACGGAGCTGTGACCCCTAAGGTCAGTTGATTCGGGCGCAACTTGACTTCAACTTTTCCTTCAGGCTCTCGTGGAAGGCAGGGTTCACATAAACAAGCCCCAAAACTTGGAACATTGACGGGAGAACATCATCAGATAAATCTAGGCAATAGCACATGAGGTTCTGGTACCAATATTTGGTATGTTTTGCGTCCAAGTAAGGTTACCAGTTGAGAGCGCTAACTCCCAGCGCCTTTGTGATTCACCTTTATTCTACACCCGAATAAGGTATGCCATGTTAACTTCATTCGCTATTTTTTATGCAAAGCCTCTAAAAATTAAAGGCATCAAAATTTAAACTAAACAAAATTTTGGGAGGTTTCTTTGACACCCAGATCTACTTCTACTTCATGAGACTACCTCAGGCTCTCGAGTACATCTTATCGCTCCAAGTGGGTGTAACACATGAAGCAGCTCATCAGTTCAGGGCAGAAAGCTGACAAGCTAAGTGTGCTCCCATGAAGCCGAGTACTCGGTAGTACAAGGCTTAGCCCAGAGTTGACGTTTTGATCACGAACAACTCAGTATCCCATGGGCAGCATTCGCTTAGCAACTGCGACCAAAACCCATTAGCCATCAGATCAAGACG